TGAACAAAGGAAAAACTAAAAAGTCAAAAAATCGTAAATTGGCACGACTCAGATAAAAAAGTCTGATTTTTGAGCCTTTTTTTTAAACGGTTTTTTGGGTCAAAAATGGCAATTTTTGAAAATTCTTGTGGCATTCTTGAAGTTCAAATAGAAGCTAATACTATAAAGAAAATGTGTGCTAAATTTCATAAGAATCGGTTGAGAACTTTTTAAATTATCTTTCAGCACAGTTTGAAAAAAGTCGTTTCGAGAAAAACGCGTTCAAAGTTTAGCGTTGGCGTTTAGCGCCAAATTGAGGTGGAACGCTTAAATGAATTTTTAATCGATAAATAATGCAAATTTCATTCTAAATATTTACAGGCATATTTTTCAGATGGGTAAACTAACTATTTATGAAAAAAAAGAAAATTCGATTTTTTTTTATTTTACATCTATCGCCGGCCTGAAAAAAACAAAGTAGTATTATTTATTATTAAAACAAATAAATTCGCGTCTTACGCTCTTACAAAAATGTATAAATAATTCAATAGTAAATTTTTAGAATACATTAATTATTTACAAGAATTATATTATAAACTTTCGTCATAGGAAATTGCACCCGGGAAAGTAAAAGCCAATATAGTTATAGTCTCGTCCAGGTGTAGCTAGATTCTCGAAACTCACGTGCCCTTGAACCGGAAGTAGGAAGAATAAGGCAGTAAAAAAAAAAAAAAAAGGAAAAAGAATTGTACTTTCACAAGTCAATAAGCACGTGCCATCTTGCACGTAAAAGATAATAACTAAATATTAAAGGAGGAGGAGGAGGAGGAGGAGGAGGAGGAGGAGGAGTAATAATATTAATATTCTTTTATTTGTTTAAAATATTCAACAAAGAGAATATAATATTTTTTCCATGAAAGAGATATCTATCTTTAAATATAAGTATCGATTGTGTGTTCTTTATCTTTAAGAACATAACCCGTTTATATTTTAGGAATATATTTTCAGGAGAACACTAAACAAGTAAAAATGTCGTAGTTGTAGTATACGCCTAATATACATTAATTTTCAAGTTATGGATGATTAGAAAATGTTCAAAGTGTCAGGGTTTCTTGTCTCAACACAAACTGCTGTATATGCTGTATACGATTTATTCAGAGTAAGCTTTGATCTTATCTAATGTGTAAGAATAATGTCCATTGACATGAAACCTACAAACTTTTGTTCAGTCAGTATCTTCATATTTTCTCAAATAGTGTTAACAGAAATTCAGTAATGTTCTGAAATAGAGAAAATTTGGTTGTATATTAATATTGAAATGATTAACATGCATTTCATGCATGCCCGTGTCAACGGAAATGAACTGGAAGTACGTTGACCATACAAAGAAAACTTCCCAAAAGGAAGAATATTTCCATCCATTTATAAAAATAGTTAGGGGGGGGGGCAAGATGCGGGCATTTCGAACATTTTCTAGTAACATTTATTATTCGAAAACCAAGGTTGGACGTATGTTAACCCTTAAAGTGCACATTTGGTAAAATTACGTTAAAGTGCACTGTGGATGTTTAATACCCTTACGTTTCCTGAAGCCGCTTTTTAATAATTAGACTTCGCAATTTTTTTCAAAGTACTTTGATACATCTTTTTTCAAATAGAATAGGTTTTATACCCATAGATGGCACTAGACAAATAACCCATTTTGTTCGAATTTAGTAACGTTTTCGAGAGATCAAAAATTTGTTGGGGTATCAAACGCCCCATGTGCACTTTAAGGGTTAATATAACATTTTTGACTTCTTTTTTTAGTGTATATAGATATACCACCTAAAGTTTTGATATGATGCTGCATTTATTTAAAAAAACCGTCAATTACTCGTCGCGATGAAATATCAACAGAATTCTTTGAATAACTCTTATCGAATTTACAATAATTAGTATTTAATCATATCGATAGAATCGTATAGGTCAAAAGTATCAAAGTTATTAAAATGTCATAACAAATCAACAACATTTGTAACATAGATAATATAAAAAAAAAAGTGACGATTAGTTCTCTGATCAGAGATCGGACATTTGGGGCTATGTCGTTCATGGTTTTCCTGTTCACGAACGGAAGGTTGAAGAAAATTGAAGCTAGTGCGCCGTGACGGTAGCACAAGGGTAAGTTCCCTTGGACGAGCCGGTGCGTCTGGGGTGGTGAGTTCACAAGAGGGAAAAAGAGGGTCGAGTCTATACTCCCAGCGGCGCATGTGTGGTTCACCTGCGAAAGGGAGACCAGCACCTGTCGCCGCACGCGCACCGAACCGACGACCTGCTCGCCTTATGCCTTGTTGTCAGCTCTACCAATGGCGCTGATGCTGGCAGTGGGGGCTGAGGGTGCACTGGGAACTGAGGGAGGGTGTTGCTTGTCTGTGCTTCCTCCACTACCAAAGTTACTAGTCGAACTCGTGAGATCACGCGGATTAAAACAACGAGTTTTCTGTCTGTCAAGTCTCTTTTCTCTCTCGTTGTATTTTTTCTGACAAATATTTGGTAAACATCGTTAATCAATTTTCTTTCTTATTATCAATCTATTTAAATTTCATTTGTCATCGATATTATTTGATTATTATATTAATTTATCGAAAATCTTATGATCGATCGGTAAACGTCTCTTCTGCGAAGCTACGAGAGAGCATCCTCGACATCATTGATATTAAATTTGTCCTTCGACATTTGTTCGTTGTAAAAACTCATTGATGTGAATTGAAATTGTGTTCTTTGAATATATTTTTTCGTGAAAGAACATCAACATTATTATATCTTCTGCTTAATACGTTTATAGTGTATCTTGAGTATCAGTGCAAGTTTTAAATAAGAGGTAAGTCGAACTGCGTAAAATCGACAAGTTTTCATATTATTCCATTGACGTAGGAATGATCAAATTTATAACGTATAGTTTGAAATGAAATATAAAATAGTTGGAGACATTTTGATTTAACAATTTCCTGAGAAAAGGGAAATCAACGAAACAAAACATTACAAACGATAAATTCCTAATGTCAGATCTTTCGTAAATTTTAGTATATATATATACATGTGTATTTGTATTTGTGTGTATACATGTATTAAGTATATGTGTTCAGAAGGCGCTTATCGCGCAATTCACGCTTGGGTGATGAGAGATGGAGAAAATGAGGATAGAGTTGGCCGAAGTTGAGATACCGATGGACGAAGGTTCATCGAAGAATAATATGGAGGTCGACGAATACGGAGTAGAAGCAGAATTAACAAGTCTTTCGTGGCTACAATCTTTAGACATTACGAGTGCATCCAGTTTGTCAACGCCAACATGTTCGCCATCACCTCCACCGGTAGTACGAAAGCCCCCGAAGAAGATGTCACCTTTGCTCAAAGCAGAATTAGGTAATTGACATTACAAAATAGTACGTAAACTCGATCAATCCGAATATTTCTCTTATCACGTTTCCTTTTTATTAGTCAAATACATTTAGGATAATAATTTATTTGATTGAATGTATATATTAGGGTGGGTTAAAAAATTACAAGTGCCACGAAAAAATGGGTTGCTAGACACCCCTTAAAAAAAATTCTCACTAAATATGAGTTCTTAATTTTAATAGGAAGATCCTCCGCATCGCAGTTTTTTTTCAGTCTAATAGATTAAAATTCATACCTCATTATTTATTGATTGTACAGAAAAATGT